TTTAGGTTCCCAAGGCTACACACTAGACCTCTGTTGGAGGAGCCAGCATGTCATATATACAGCACCAAATTCCAAGCGTGCCTTGAGCTGTCTTACGATAACAAGGCCATGTGCGAGGAATTTCAGAACTGTTCCGAGTCTGTGGCTTCTTTCCTAGTATGGACATCTGGGATGTGTGGACGCGAACGCCAGCCAGTGTTTAGGCGATTTTCGTTTTGTATCTTGTATCGTTTTTAGAGAGCATTTGTTTTACTGAAAAGGAGGATAGATCAGCCACTGAGATACAAGACATCCATAATAAGAGTGCAACAAAGACCTTCTTGTTATTCCACACTTGTAAATGCCGTAACAAATCCCATGTTAGCAGCTGGAGTCTGGAACTGTTTATTTCCTTTATTATGTGATATTTTTTACAGCCGTTTTGTTCTCTACTTGTAAGCCATTAATCTTTTCTATAGTTTGTCCCCTTCTGTCATTATATGAACCTTTTTGCTCTGAAACCATTTGCTGCTGATTAACTCAAAAATTCAGCAAAGGACAGCAGGAAAATTTAATGCGGTGGCAAAGTGGGCATTGAGACAATCCATGCGTAAGAACTGCGGGAACCCCTGGATGTTCTTGGACAGGCTCCCCATGGTCCAGGAGTGAGGTCATTCCAGATGATAACGGTCTCCATGCCAGCAATTAATGAGGCCAAGCCAAGATGGAGAGGGAGATGCTGAATGACTACCCAGCTCTGTCTCCATCGTCTCCTACATCAGCCCCCGACTTTCCACAAGGACGAAGAAGTCCATATGACTTCCTGTCAAAGCCGTGCACAGTAGCAAGACTTAACAGCGCTACTATCTCCAAGAACATCTCTCACTACAAATCTCCGTCTATATATAAGTCTGTAAAAACAGGGAAATATAAATGTAAAAACAACATGAAAAAACATAGTGGACTCCTGAGAATATTAAAAGGTTAACAGGTTCTTTAAAAGGTGACCGACATTCTGGGAAATGAGATATCTACGAAGAGAGAGCAGACTTTAGCAGTATTATGATGCTGGCTTGCAGCACGTTCTCCATGGTGACCAGAGAGGCTGAATGCTGACAATCACACCTGTCTCCGGTTTCTGCGGGGGCCCTTTCTCCACGGATACTGTCCTGAACACCCCCCTCCCGCACCTCCAGCTGCTCTCTCCCCCAACTCTTACACGTAATCCTTGACATTTGCTGGAGCAACCCTCTCGTCACACAACAGCACGGAGCCACCACATTCTCATGCCCCTCGTTTGTCCTTCTGCAAATTGTCACTTTTGCTCTTAAAGGCTCTCTTTCACCTGCCTGATTGGAAGCCCGGCCAGCACTCGCTGCAGAGAGATAGTCAACAACAAAAAGCTCCATTCATCCAACCCGTGGGTGTTTACAGTCACCCAGTCATCTTAGGCACATGGTATAAGGTGCTTAGCAACGACCTTTGGCTCCATCCTGATTCTTTTAGCTAAAAGACCGACTCCTCCACCGGCCAATCAAATACCGGTCACTCCTCAGCCCGATGTACTCCAGCCTAAAGCACAGCGACAAATCTGAGAAAAAGGGGGCGTATTTTCAAATTGTCTGCGCATAAAATGGCAACTTTCTTTAAACGCCCGTCTGTCCGTCAACCCCTTCAAGCACCGCTTTCCTGAGGAGCAACCTTGACAGCCTCGCTGATGCGGAGAAGAGCAGGATGATCCGGGGCGACAGAGAAACAAACCGAAAGCTCGGCAAATCGAGCGCGGACGGCCGGAGGCGTGAGGGGTTTACCCGCCGTGGATCTGTCAGATTAGCCACAACACGCAACCTGCCAAACATGCCCCCACCCTTATCAACAGGATATGCACCCCCTCCACACCTTCCCAGCCACCCTGTCCCAATACAACAGAGAACCAGCCTTACCTGTGGTGGAATGCAGACTCTCCAGACTCCAGTAATGGGACATGACCCCACGGGCAGCCCCCACCCCTGCCAGGGGCCCCCCAAGGCCGCTGTCTGAGTCGGACCCGGGGGACAGCCCCGAGCTCCCGCTGCTGCTGCTGAAGCTGCCCCCTTCTGCGGCCCCCTGCTGGCTGCGCATGTGGCCGGGGGATGCGGGGCACTCTCGGGCCCGGCTCCCACCAGTGTCGCCTGGCACCGCCGTCTGCTCTGGAGCTGCTGTCTGCCCAGCCGCCGCTGCTGTCTGCTGGCACCCTCCCTTCCTCTCTGCCTCTCTCTCTCGCTCTCTCTGAGACAGGCACGACGCAGGCACCGGTGCCTCTCCTGCACTCGCGCACACACACAGCCACTAGCTGACATCACTGGGGGTCCTCTGAGGGGGGATCCGAGCTTTGTCATGGCATTCAATAGCAGTGACAGAGGTTGCCTGCCTTCCCAGCTGGGACTGAAAAAGAGCCCATTTCTCAAACCCCCTCACTCCACCCCCTTTTTTCCCCTGCTCTTCTCCAAAAGTATGGATTTTAGTGAAACACGGATTACTGGGGAACACGGTCATTGTATTCCGTGAGTGTGAGCTTTAAGGTATAGGCACCCTGTTACACCATCCAGTAGATGTGGCTCAAAAAATTCAAGTTTCTCAAGGAGCCTGTTACCTCATCTAAATTTAACACTGTAAAATCCATTATAAATGACATTATAGCTGTCTGACATTGAACAGGCGGAGCTGACAGAAGTCTACATGGTGCCCATATAATACACACAACACAGGTAGCCTATATAAGTCCTCCTTATCCACGTGTCAGGTGATTTTTACAAGGCCCCTATGCTACAAACATACGCTGCATGCTAATGATGCAAACACAAGGTAGTTGACTGTTTTTTACACAATCCCAGTATGAAAGAACACAGGCTGCAAATTCAGCAAAGTATCCGTCCTTGACAGAAAACAATATATTTAAATGTATTCCATATAACAGTATCTAAAGATTGAAAGCAAGTTTCACCTTTGTGGGTATTACTCACAGAGAAAATATGAAACTTAGGAGAAATCCCTGGCATGCAGACTGGTGATAAGATGGTGCGTCATTCAGTCCAAAAGGCTGAAAGTCATTCACAAGTGCCGACATGGGACCATCACCGGATAAAAACAGCCTTGGCTTTCACACACACCGGAAGCTTCTAGAATGTGGGTCGGGGGGTGCCTGAGATGCATGTGCCATTTGGAAGCAGCATGTTGTTTTTTTTGGAGCATGACAAAAACTTTCCAAAAATGTTCACACATGAAAGGAAACAAAAATAAGAAACCTGGATTATTTGTAGAACATCTTGAGACGTGACATTCAGAAATGCTGGGTGATAGAATGGAGATCCAAAAGAACACAGTCCCTGGGACAGGTGTCGAGATTACCATACAAACGTTGGCACAATGCCGAGAGCGTTCCAGAATGGCAGATTACACAGAGCCTAGATGCGCACTTAATCTGAAGAATGCTAAGTACAAGGTTTTAACACAAAGAAATAGCCAGTCCATCAGCTTGAGGGGCAAATCACAAAAAGCAACAATGGAACACACACGCACACACTGGGGAAGGTTAACTAGCATTTGCTAATCATCAGGGGACAAGCAGCAAACTGAAGACTGCAAAGGCCGCAGGGCACATTGTTTGCAAGCTGGACACACGTCGTGACAGATCCTAGGCCTCTCTCCTTGGAGCTCAGCCTGTATTTGCAAGGGAGCTGGCAACTTGCACTCAAATAAATAGTTGTAACTACACAATAACAGGCAACTGGAATGACGCGGCAGAAACTGCAAATCCTGCTCCGCTCTGTCAGAGTCAGGAATGACTCTTACAGGCTGTTTAGTGGTTCTCGATAAAATCCAGACATCTGGAACTGCAAATATTTCATTCAGATCCTTCCATGCTAGTACATTTAGATTGTGACATGTAGCAAAATTATTATATTGGCATCTTCTGCAGATTTACTTTCTGACATATGATGTGGATTTTTGGCCAAATTCAGACAGCTACGGAGTCTGAGTGCTATAGCTTAACAAAAGCCAGATCAAGATACAGATACTGTGCAGTTATGACATAACACCAGCAATCTCATGAACACTGGAAAAAGCACATTGCAGGTCAGCTGAGATAAATGACCAGTCCAGCTATACCAGAGCAAGATCAAGACCTGTTAATTGAATTGTGGATGGCAGATTTACCGCTGCCTAATGACCTCTCTCATGGAGACTTGATTTCCATCTCTGTGTGTCCGTGATCATGTGAGTCTCGTTTAGCGTTGCGTGTGTCTATGCATGTGCGTGGAAACCCATTTTGTACAGACAAATTTCTGCATGTGCGTACTGTGCCTGTCGGGGTGGGCGTCACCAGTGACCTCAGAAGACCCTTGAAAAACAATGCCATATCTGATACAGCCACTAGGGGGCCCCTTTCAGAAGTTATGATACACACCCAAGCAAACAAAGATAGCTTTTGTGCTCACCCTAGTCCAGACACCACCAGACAATGGTAACTGGGGCCTCTGATGACAGATCAGACATTATAGCTGGCCTGAAAGCTGGCTTTAGACAAAAGCAATCAAGCGCCTAATGATGTCCAACTGGGTATTAGTCATTACAAGCGGCGCTCAAGAATTATACACGTGCAGATTTGCCACATAATGTTGGCATAACAGTGGGTTTTGATGTGCTGCAAAGGAGCCTAAAAACATTTGACGAGAAATGTTGTATTTCAGTCTTCAGGTTCACGACTGGACACGTAATTGAATTAAATCTCCACAGAGACTTAAATCTCTGAGATGCTTTTCCTCCCCAGAGCTCGTTCTTGGCTCAAACCACAGAACTAGCTTTTAGCCGCCCAGAACAGTCATTCCTCAGCTCTGTCCAGAGCAAAAATGGCTCCCTTTCCTTGATATTTATTGCTGCTAAAAAACCAAAGGAACTCATCTGTTTGACATAACCAGACCTAACTGGGAACAAAGAGAGCACCATATGACACTACAGGGAGGCAAGCAGGGGGTACTCACTTGGATAGGAGACACGCCGAGGCCAGCCCAGGCAATCCAGGCCAATGGGGGTACTCTGAGAGAAGTATAGGTCCCTCAGAGGCATGATGGAGAAATCCTGGCCTAAGCTGCTGGACCGGTGTCCTGGGGCCTGTCAAGATGAAGGTACAACTCAGGACTGTGGTTCTTCCTACCACAGGCTTCTCCTTCTCCCTAGGAGATTCTGGAGTTCAGTGCTGACTAACTAAAACAGCTGTTGGGAGCACAGTCAAGAAAAAGCGCCTGTGTTCCTACCAAGCAAGGCTACAGGGCAAAAAGAGAGAGAGACAACGAAGCGGAAGAACGCAAGGCTCAGGGGCAGAAGTAGAGGCAGAGTGGAGGATGAGGAGAATGGAGGGGACCGAGGAGCCCCCCCCCCCAGCAGCCCCTCTGGTCATTTCTGGGTCTTACTTTCTCCGATTCTTCAGGCCGCCGCCTGGACAGCCTGCACAGGCTACCGCGTGCAGCCAACACAAGCTTTCTCTGGCGGGTCTTCTCTGCCTCGATCCAGAGGTCGTCGGAGCAACGGTGTTGTCCCTTTCCAGCCCTTGGGTTCAGGTTTGTGGCTAGCCCTGCCATGCCTGGCACCCAGAGGGGCACACCCCAGCTGCCCAAATCAGAGAGCGGCCTCTGTCCTGGAGACCGTTGCCGGGGCGACTGCTCCCCCCGCTTCTGCACCCGGAGCGCACTCCCCAGCTCCTGGTGCCTTTTGTCCAATAATTGGTGGGCCATTTTGCCACCTTCCTGTGTGAGCTTTGAGTGCAGATCATAATGGTTAGGAAAATCTATATGAGGTGACTAATATCAGCAAAATTAGCCACTGCTGTTATTTTTATGTTAATTTTATCACAGTAAATGTGGGAAGGTTAAGGCATCTCGATTACTCATGTGCGTTTAATTTGTCAGCTGTGTATGAACAAATGTGGGAATATTTGGTGGCCTACGTCACTGGCATGGGAATTCCCATAGAGGGTGCTGCCTACCCAAGGATATGCAGACACTAAACTGAAAAGTGAAGAATGTTGTGCATAATTAAAACCGGAGAATTTTGAAACAAGATTGTTAAAAATTACAATACGGACAAAAATTCCCAAAAAGCTAATTCTGCTGTCTTTGTTGCCCGCATTATAATATTTTCTGTACAAAAAGATCATGGCAGTTTTCTAGTCAGACTAAACATTGAGGTTTTGAGGACCCATGAGAAGGCAGGCCACAATGTATGTATCATTTTCCATTTAAACTCGCTGCGTGTCTTTTGTCCCATAAATAAACTCTTTCAAAGGTAGAATATTCCATCTTTCAAATACACCTGACAACAAGGAATAATGTAATGAATTACTGTCAGAAAATAAGGAGGATTTTCTGCATGTTTGCTCCACCTTACCTCAGTGTCATTGCTGGACAAGGAGGTGGCCAGACTGTCCTGTGACTCGCTGTCCATGACACCATCATCCTGCCTGTAGTCTGTGTCCACTGACTGGGTTGATGCCAGTTGAGCCATCCGGGGCTTGACGGTCTTTGGCCTCCCAGGTGGGTCGCAGAGACCCTCGGCACTGACTCCCTGCCCTAGCGAGATGAGGGATGATGCGACTGACCGTGAAGTGTAGCGGAAGCTCCGACGGTGGGGCCACGGCTTGGGGCTCTGAGGCTTGGGGCTCTGAGGCCTCAGGGGGCCATCCACTCCTTCAAAGGAACCCAAGGACCTGGCCCAGGAGGGTGCATGCTGGTGGACAAGGGTGGTCATTTGGGCGTAATTAGTAGGTGTCAAATGGTTAGAGTTGTCAGGGGAGACTTGGGAGCTGTCTGAGGCTAAACAGATAATGCTGGAGGAAGATAAAGTGAGTCCATTGGAAGGTCCAGATATCCTAAACCCTTCTGACCTTCTCTCATCAGAGATGTCTGATAGCTCTCTTGGTGCGGCCTTTTTGCTCAGTGGATCAGTGTAACACGACACCTGTGAACCTGACCGCAATTTGGCTGAGGAGATTTGTAGACTTAGTCTGTCCCTAGAGCCCCGCTGGATCTGCCTGACACTACCTGCATCAGAGACCGAGAGGGTCCTCTTCAGCATCTCTGTCTCACTACCTTGTCTTTTCTTCCCCCTTAATGTTTCTGTGCTTGCTTCTTCGTTGATGGTCATCGGGCAGTGGACTGCATTCTCCTTGTCTGAGGACTTGGACTCAAACAGACTCGACAGGGATTTGTGTGCCAGAGCTATTCTCATTCGTAGGTTGAGGTTGTCTGTGCTCTTGCTCCTTCTGGGGCTCCGGCTTTCCATTGCTGGGATGGCAACAGAATTTCTGTCACAGGGGTCCTGGAGGGTAGGGTGTCGCAGGCATTGCATGGATGGGATAAAGACTTCTTCGTCAATCCTACTCCTGGTTTCAGAAAATCTCCTCCCGAAACTGCTTCTAGGGGAAACTACATTCTCAAAGACGTCATCATCTGAGTTTTTACCTGACTCCCCTACTTCTCTCAGGTGGTAGGTACTCTGGGATAGATAAGTCTGGTAGAGAGGGGGACACTTTATCCTCTCCATACTCTCATCTTGTGAATTCCCGGCTGCTTGCTCCCCTTTATAGCTCTTGCTCTCCCTTGCAGAGGTTTTTCCCTTCCTGAATGATGGGATCCTATTGAAGAACTTTGAGGCTTTGTTGGCTGTGCTAACCTTCGATGTTTTATTCTTCACTGAATTTTGCAGACTTGAGCTGTTCCCAACATGGGATAAAAGTCCATCTTCTGTTTCTATTTCTCTGCTCGTGTTGAGATTGTCCTGGACCTGGGATGCCATATTGGTAATATAGCAGCTTTTGTTCTCTGCCTTTTCATTGGCTAACAAGGTATTGGCCTCACTGGAGTCCAGAGCAGGGGTAGTATTGGAAGCAGGCAGATGCTGTGTGACTTTGTCAGGTGAGTCTTCCTTGCTGCTCTCAGGTGTGGAGGGCAAACAGACGGTAAGGGGAGGGTGGGTATCAATGTAGCTTGTGGCAATCTTCAAATCCACCAAAGCAGACCCCATAACAGGCATCTGCTGCTCCTCCCTTTCCTTCACACTGGTTTTATCTTCCAACGCGAACAAATTTTCTTGATAATGATCCCATTCTAGAATGGGCTCAAGATTACTGCCTGACAATAAATTTAAATTGCTCTCTGGTTGTTCATACACATCTATCTCTGTCTCATCCAGTAGTGACTGTGAAGAGGAACAATGTTCTGTCTCAGGGACAGTATGATAACCTACTGAATATCTAAGTCTATCGGCCATCTGGTCTTTTCCTATCTTTTCTCTTGTGCCATCAGATATTCCTATAATTTTCGAATGACTCACAAAGGATCTAAGCCCTTTATCCTCATACCTCTCTGGATCCAGGTGTTCATGAAATAAGCCCTTCATTTGGCTGCTCGTAGAGTTATGTGGTTCAAGCTCGGACCCCAAGCTTATCTCATAATTCCTTGGTGCAACTTCCTGTGGGGGAGGGGCCAAGCCATTGGAGGGGGGGTCATCACCAACAGCATCTGTGGTCCTCAACCCAGTTTTCTGTCCACGCCCACCCTGCTCCTCCCCTTCAGAACAGTCACAGTGCTTGAGGTCGTCAACAACCAGTCGCCACTCTGAACCTTGCTGGATCCAGTGGGGCTCATCTTCCAGGTCAGTGGGATTGGTGAAGACCACTACAGAAAGGTTCTCCAGCCAGGGGTGCTGACCAAAAGCTTCCGGCTGACTCTGGAGGCTTTCTGAGGAAACAGCATCAGCCCCCTTGCCTGAAAATGCATCCACAGGTCCGCCGGCATTTCTGTGCTCTGTCTCCTTGGGAACTTGTACCAAAGGGTCGAGAAGATCCGAAGCAGACTTTGTGTTGCTGTTGTGCCACTTGGATCCTGCAGGACTTTCCTTAGCACAGTGACTCTCAGAAGTGCGGTTCCATTCCAGCTCCTCAAACTGGGAACTGGTGCCTAATTCAATGTCCGTCCTCCACTCAGGAACTTCATCAAAACCTGAATCACAAGCTCTGGAGATATCCTCACAAGGGGACTCCACATCAGGGGCAAAGTCAGTCTCACAGCTGGACTCCAGTTTATTAGTTCTGATTTGCATTTCAGTTGATGGCTGCCCTGATTTAGACATTACTTCAGAATCATCCACAAAACATTGCTTCACTTTATCCAACTGGGGGTCAGCAGATAATTCAAAATTAATTTCATCCAGGCCAACCGCAGAAATAATGGACTCCTCTTTATTTGTTATACTATGAAATCCAACTGCGTAAGCAGCCTCTCCAAACAGTATTTGCAGGTCTGTGAGGTTCTGAAAGTTTCTATCCAAGTGGTTTTGTGGAACAGAATCAATAATGCCTGCATCCTCTGAAGAGATATGAAACTCTCCCTTTTCATCTCCCGGCAAGGTCTCCGATTTCCATCCGAGGATGTTATCCAGCTGTGAGCCATTTGAGAAAATGACCCCATGGTTGTTGTGGGGGGTGGGCAGGCATTCCTCGATCAGCTCCTCAGTCCCAAACCCATTACAGAAAGGTTGGGCTTCAAAGGCTTCTGTATCAGTAGGTGCGCTATAAAGAGACTGAGTCTGTGAGACATCTTCCTCAATACTAGGAACTTTAGCTGAACATTTACTGGAGTCCAGAAAATCTTCCTTAGTGTCAAATACTTTGTGATTCAGTTGGGTTTCTAAGACATAGTCCTTATCACCATCAAGTATATGTGCATCAGAATATGATTCAGTCTTTAAAACATTACCATCTAGGTGAGTTTCTAAGAGTTTGTCATCAGTACCAGCTAGTAAAGCTGCATCACAGGATGGATCCATTTCAGTCTCTAAACTATCCTTCACAGGACCAGACTGTGTAGAAATACTGGCATGAGAAACAGTTTCCAACACAGTTTCCTCAGTGGTAATCTGTGCACAGGTGTCATTGCAACTTTCTGAAACATCCTTGTTAACATCATCTTTCCAGTCCAAGTCCTGCACTGTTCCTAAAGCATCCTCTTCCATATCAGGCTGTATGTAACTGTTTGCTTCCATCTGGATTTGTAGAACTTTCTCCTCAGTTCTAGACTGTATGCAGCTACTCGGGCCTTCCTGGTCTTCTTCAGTAACACACTGTACGCAGACATTGTCATTGGGTTGAGTTTCTAAGTATGTGTCATCACTAACAGCTAGTATGTCTGTGTCAGAGGATAATTCAGTCTCTATAACATCCTTCTCAGGCCCAGACTGTGCAGCTACAGTGCAGTGGGGAACAGTTTCTATCACAGTTTCCTTAGTGTTAGACTGTGGACAGGCTTCGTTAAGGGACCAACGTTCTAAAACCTCTGTCCTGGTAACATCATTCTCGGTTTCACTGTCTTGGACTTTTTCTAAAACCTTCTCATCGCCAGTTGTTCTGTCTGTCAGGTCGCTTATACCATTTCCCTCGGTCCCAAAAGGCAAATGTGTTCTTACTTGAAACCCACTTTCTGAAACGTCCTCCTTCATCACATCATCCTTGGTGTCAGTGTCCTGTAGTGCCTTGACATTGTCTTTCCTCTGATGCTGAGCATCTGTCTGGTCTTCTGAAAACCAATCCTCAGCGCTGGACTGCACATGGGCATTAACACTAGCCTGGCTTCGTGAAACATCGCTCTCGTTACAAGTCCAACCGTCTCCCGTTGTAGATGATGGTTCAATTGATCTACAGTGGGGCTCCTCAGGACCAGGTATTACTGAGACGTTCACGTTAGGGTGACTATCAGAAACGTCATCCCCGGATTCACAATTTACAGGGCTGTTAACGTGGGACCGATTCTCTAATACAATCCCCTCATTAACACACTGAACTCTGCCGTCAGTCTCTTTCAGTTTTTCTACAACATGCTGCCCAGTATCAGACAGCATATAGTTTGTGGCGATCTGAAATTCTGAAACATCTTCCTCAAAGCAGGATGCCATGTTGCTGTTAGCGAGGGGCAGTTTTGGATGCTTTAGAATCTCGTCTTTAGTAACAGACTGTGAATAGGCACAGAGGGTCTTAAAAAGCTCCTCCTCAGTGCTCAGCTGATTAAAACCTCTAGGGTCCTTCTGATCTTCATCAGCGCTGCACTGGACACAAACATTAATACTGGGTTGGGTTTCTAACAGTTTGTCCTCTATATCTGCTGGCATATATGCATCAGAGCATGGTTCAGTGTCTAAAACATCGTTCTCAGGACCAGACTGTGTAGATACATTAGTGTAGGGGAGAGTTTCTAACACAGTGTCACACTGTGCATAAGTTTTATTATAGGGCCAACTTTCTGAAACATTTCCCTTTGTAACACCCTCCTTAGTTTCAGTGTCCTGGACTATCTCTAAAACCTTCCCCTCATTATCAGGCTGTATATCATTGCTGGTGTCTGTCTGATCACATAAAGCATTTTTCTGAGTCCCAGACTGTGAATATGCTGTTATGTAGACCTGACTTTCTAAAACATCTCCTTCCACAGACAATGACAGCTCCTCTGGACTAGATAATACAGAGACATTCACATTAGGTTGATCGTCTGAAACACTATGCCCACCATCACAGTTTAAACAGATGTTTACGTAGGACTTACTTTCTAAAAGAGCACACTTTGTACCACACTGCGCATTGTTGTCTGTGTCCTGCACTGTTCCTAAATCATCTTTCTCCATATCACATTGTATCTTACTGTCTGTGTCCATCTGGGTTGGTAGAACTTTCTCCTCAGTTCTAGACAAAATACAGCTACTAGGGTCATTGTGATCTTCTTGAGCACTACTCTCTACATAGACATTGCAACTGGGTTGAGTTTCTAAGAGTTTATCATCAGTATCAGCTAGTTTATGTGCACTGGAGCATGATTCAGTCTCTAAAATATCCTTCTCAGGACCAGATTGTATAGGAAGAGAAACAATTTCTGATGCAGTTTCCTCAATGTCAGTTGCACAGGTGTCACTGCAGCTTTCTGAAATATCCTCCTTGTTACCATCATCTATTGTGTCCAAGTCCTGCAGTGTTAGTAAAGCATCCTCCACTATATCAGACTGCATGTAACGGTCTGTGTCCGTCTGGGTTAGTAGAACCTTCTCCTCAGTTCTAGACTGAATCCAGATATTAGGGTCATTCTGATCTTCTTCAGTGCTACTTTGTACACAGACACTACCGTTGGGTTGGGTTTCTAAGAGTCTGTAATCAGTACCAGATAGTACGACTGCATCAGAGGATGGTTCAGTCTCTATAACATCCTTCTCAGGCCCAGACTGTGCAGCTGCAGTGCTGTGGGAAAAGGCTTCTAACACAGAGTTCTCAGGGTCAAACTGTGCACAGGTATTAGTATGTGGTTGACTTTCTAAACCATCATTGATTTCAGTGTCTTGGGTTTCTGAAACCTGCTCTTCATTATCAGGCTTTATACCAGTGCTACTCTCTGTCTGGTCAGTTATAACATTTCCCTCAGTCCTAGACTGTAAATGACTCTTTAAGACATCATCCTTGGTGCCAGTGTCCTGCAGTGTTTCTACAACATCGTCTTTACTATTCTCTCGTACGGTTGTCTGATCCACCATAAAAATATGCTCAATGGCAGAGTTCACACAGGCATTAGCAATAGCCTTGTTTTCTAAATCACTTTCCTCATTACCAGCTTGTATACAAGTACCAGGGTCTATCTGATCTTTTAAAAATGCTACCACAGTGTCAGAATCTACAGGGACATTAGTGTTAGACTGTGTTTCCAGAACAGTCTCAACAGTAGGAAGCTGTGTATAAGCACTTGTGCCAAGTTGAAATTCATTGCCAGTCAATATATGGGTATAAATTTCAGTTTGGCAATCCAAGGGATGTTCTTTGTTACGATTCTGGAGGCCAGTGTCAGAGGTCATCCTGGCCTCCCCTGCACTGTGGTCCTCTCCATCATCAGTCAGGCACTCCAGAAGGCCAGAAAGTGGCTGGTGAATCCCTAAGGTGTCCTCTGACAGGTGGTCCTCCTGAGAACCTGAGCAGCTCTGCTGTTGTTCTTCCTCCTCAACATGAACGAGACCACCCATCCCAGAAAAGGAGACAAATTGGGAAGGCCCTGTTCCGGCAAATTCCTGCAACGGGCACACCTCGGCGTGGGGGAGGGGTTCATGAATGGCACTTATTTCAATGGGTCCACACTCTGAGCCTGTCGTGCTGTACAATGTCTCTGGAACTTGCAAATTTGAAGAGAGAGGAAGTCCAGCTTCCAGAATCAAAGTTCTCTCACTTTTTAAGGCCTCTTGTGTTCCAGAAGGCTCAGCTAACTCCAGAACACCAAACAGCTGGTCACTAGCACACCGCTGTGGTGATGATCGCGAGGAGAGGTCATCGCAAAGGCTGTCCATAGAAGACTCCTCCTTCATGCTTTCCGGAATGGTGTGTCCCTCACTGGAGCCTCTCTCCCCAGGCTCGCCCTCGTGAAATCCCCGTGCGCCGAGCAGCACGGAGGAGCCCTCGCTGTCCGGGCTGAGGTCTGAGAAGGCGTCGCTGTGACACGACTGTGTGTCGAAGAACTCCTCCGTGGTCTCCTGGCCCAGGTCACTCCACTCGTGAGGCTCCCGCTCCTGTGAGTGTTCAGAGTCATTTGCAGTGTCCTCTGGGGTTTCCGGGGCCTGCACAGGACACACACACAAACACACAAACACAAAAATTAAAAATAATGAAAACACATCTGACTTGGACCACATCTTCCCAGTCTATTTATCTTCTCAGTCTCATTAAAGGATCTTAATGAATAAAAATTGAAAATAAATAAAAAATCTAAAGCGTCTGGTTGTATCCGAAATTATTCAGTTTTGGGGGTTTAATTGTTGAAACATTCTCAAAAATATGTGAGCAATTAATCACCCCTTTGGCATCCATAGCAATATTTGGAGTATCTCCTCAGAATGTTAATCTAAGTAAGTCTCTTCTTGCAAGAAGACTTATCATATGTAAAGGAAGAGACCTTTCCCCTCCAACACATGGACACTGGATCAAAGATGCTATGCATTCTGCACACTTTGGGAAGATACAATATTCTTTTAAGGGGTCATTTCTGATATTCATAATCACTTCCTGCTTTGTTAGTACAAGTACTTAGATTTCGGTTTGTTTGCATTTTTACACTTTATCCATTTATATAACCGGCAAAGGAATATGTTTGTGTGCACAACAGGTTTGGCATGATAATTACATCACAGGAATGCATCCTCTTCCCTGCAAACAGCCCGTCACGCTATCTATCCAGCTTGATAATAGCCCCTTTTCAGCTCTCTGTCTTTCTGTGTATCCACTTCCTGGTAGTACGCACACAAGCACGCGCCCCCAGGATAAAATCACTGTTTAAAAAAGCGTAAGAAGTTACGAGCTTCTCGGGACACGTCTGATTCTGCATTAAGCCTTGCTGAAAGTGTAACAACACACCGATAAGTAAAGAGGGATTTACAGTAGTACCACACCCTCGTAATCTATTCTGGATCATACTCACCATCCAGATACCGGCCACCTTCGTGAGACCACCAGACAGGACCCAGCTGAGTACGATTCCCATGATTCACAGACAGAACCAGCAGTCGACGCCTCCTCTACAGCCAGTCAGCCACCCCACCAGCCACCCCCCCTCCCCAGTCCTTGTGTCTCTCTCTCTCTCTACTGATTCTGAATACATGACAGGCATGGGGGGGAGGGGGGGTCATCCTCAGAAACGGTAGCGAGGCCCCCTGGGTACCTGTCGAGGCTTGCTGCACACACCGTTGCTGTAGGGCTGGGGGAGTGAGGGGAAAAATGGGGAAGACCCATCTCTGGTTTCTCCCGGGCCGGGGCTGGCTAATCCTAAGGATCTGGCCCATCCTTCACATCAGTGAAAGAGGACACTAAGCAGACTGGTTTGACTGGGGGGGGGGGGCGTGATCAGGTGCCCACCCCATCCCTTCTTGCATGGAATAGTCAATATCCCAGAATTCCCTTAAAAACCAATGAGCAACATCGAGAAAACAGACCCAGTTCCTGATCCTTATTGTAATCCAATTTTTGGCACTGGGAGGTAGATTTTTAAAAAAAAGCCTGGAGTGCCACCAGCCAAGAATGGCAGTAAATTGCTCAGAGGGGGCAGTGTGTGGGGCTTGGCAGGTTGCTCCTGCTGGTATCCGTGGGGGGAATGTAAATACGGCCCAGAAATAGGGCCTTGGTGAAAATCCCTGTTTTATGTTTTCAAAATGGTGCTGGAAGTCGTCCCGCCCGAGCCTGCCTACCCTGCAGGCACCTCACTGGGCAGGTCGGGGCTGCAGGTGGCAGCGATGAGCTCAGATACCCAGAAATACATTAAGCGAATGTATCTATCGGCAAGTTTGCATATTCCCGACATTAAGTGAACGAAGGTCCTGACTGATTTCCGCCTAACTACGTGGCAATTATTCCTGGGGTAGGGTGCAACGGATTAGTGGATTTTGCAGTGTATGACTGAGTAGGGGAAAAGAAGCCCATTGTCATATGACAGCTCGCGGCTGCAGGCTGATTCAGAAACAAGGCTCATTTCTCAGTCTTAAGCAAGGCTGAGCACCCCAAACAGCTTAGCAGCTTAAATAGCTTTGCGTTGGTGTCACATTTGGAGCAAGCGAACCAAGTCACTAATGCAGTCAGACAGCTACAGCCTAGTGAGGATCACGGAAAGGGCAGAAAGGGCTGACCTCAGGCCAGAAGGAACGACGCTGTGGTGAGGCCACGCTGTGCTTACTGGGAAAACACTCTACAAAAACGATGCAGGATTATTTTTATGTCCACATACAAAGGGCCCTGGAGGGCCTTTATGCCACGAAGTAGGATCCAGGGCGATTATAAGGTTTACTAAGGGCCATAATATACATAGATCTTTATCATAAGCCAATGATCTATTTTGAATCGGTGAGTGACAGTGGAGGGGGTACTCCAGGAGCCAATTAGCTTTCAGTGCTTCTAAGGCCCCCCCTCCCCATGTATATGCCCCTGGGACTTGCTTTCATTTGCATGTACCAACACTGGCAGGGGGCTCCAACGGGCCTCAGGAGTATTGGGACAAGCCTGGGGATCTGCATGGATCATATGGAATCTGGTGAATTTGAATTTGAGGCGGAACAAGGGGTGTGTCCGTCAGAGGATGAGAATCAATGAGGCATTGGACAGAAGGCATGGGCAGCAGGCTTCAAGCCCCGCCCCCCACAAGCTGAACTTTCAGAACTTTGAAAACAGAACAATATCTATCATACTGACAGACGGGAGCTTCCCCTTCAACAAAAGCCAGCATTACTTAATCAACCGATTTAGAATGAAATCTGATGTAGCGTAACACTCCTTTACATTGATGTCGATTTTTTTTTCTAATGGGAATCCAAGAAAACAGAAAAAGTTGAAAAAGAAATCTATAAGAGTATTACAGCAAAATACTGTAAATGATCCCAAAAAAGTTCTCATTCCGAAGGATCATTCCAGAAATCCAGCCTTAGGCCTAAATCATTGTGATGAAACCAAGAAACTATTTAGACATCACATTGTGTGCAATATTTAAGATTGGTTTGCTTTTGTTGCTTAGCACAATTCCATGAAATGCGGCCAACTAATTTTCATCGGAATTATACCTAGGAAACAAGTAAACAAAGCAGAGTTCTTTCTTGAGTCCCCCCACCGAGAAAAACATCTTAAAACATCAGTCAAGGTTAGTACTGGGATAAATGTTAGTGCCTGCAGGTGTGTTCAAGTCAAAATTACTCAACGACATCTTCTGACAGGCCTGTTTTTATCTGTTAACCAATAGCCCTGCTAGTCCCTATTTTATGTGTCACAGGAGAGGCTAATTCAGTGAATTAGTGTTTGTCCTGTTCGTCAGCATTTCTGGATTGTTTGCTTCTTAGAGGGCAAGGTGTGTCATCCATTCACCAAGCAGAATGTTGGACCAAATGCTTAATTTCTTCCTGTTCGTTTTCTAACATAAGTTGAACTTCATTGATCCCAGGGGGAAATTCTTTTGCATACAGCAGTAAGGTAGGTAAAGTGCAGTAAAACAAGTATATAGTGCAAAAACAAGACAGTGCAAGACTGTACCCATAGTGCAAACAAGGAAACATGGTGCAAATATGTTTGAAAAGTACACAGGGAGTCTATGAGAAACAAAATCACAACAGCTCTCCTTCCAATGTCACCCAAGCCCCACCATCTTGACATTAGGTCATGACAACAGGTAATGAACTCTAACGCCAGCTAGGAGCTGGCCAAACCTCCATGCATTATCTTCACATTAATTCTACTCAGACAGCATTCCAAGCACTTGTGGGACAAGCCAAGTGTAAAGAATAACCAGTAGTTTGGAAAACCAACACTAATCCTTCCAGCCTCCTTGAGTCCATACAACTCTTCACACTCACACAATTCTTGAATGATGGGATCATCATCAAGCTCTGTATTCACAGAATTTAACAATGCTAAGGCATCCAACAAAAATGAGGGCTCTTCACCAACATGATCTCATGGCAGGAGTGTGGTGGATTTTGCAGGGCCTGTCCTGATTTTTCAGAATGCTATAACAGAAGGAGGCAAGAGACCTTTTTGTAGTGAGGAGTAAGGTCCTCTGAATGTCCCCACATGGTAATGTTTGTAGACTTTGGAAAACCAAGGTGTCCAAATTGGCATAAGAGAGCTGTAATGTCTTCAGGCCAGTATGGCAAATAGCACTGATCTGTAGGGCTGCTGGGATCTAGGGGGGTACACTGCAGAGATGGGGGCTCCCATGCCATCGGTTTTCTTTTTGAGCTACTCTGAATGCATTCTTCCTGCCTCCAGGCCAAAGAGGACATGAGCCGGCCCTTTTAGCACTATCAACAGGCACGGCTAAAGCATACGGTTTTGATCGCTACACGCAAGCCAAGGGGGATCTGAGCTAGTTCTGGAGTTGTCTGCATGAGCTCATCCCTCGAGGGAAGTCTTCCAGCACGGTGAAGGGGGGAAAACGAAAACACAAGGCAGAGCGGACTGTCGCAACGGTGAGGGTCAGAGGACTGTGCTGGGATGCGGGGCCAAAGGCTGACATCGCTATGCTAACATACACTGCCCCAGAGTTCATCTGTCTTGGCTTCAGATCCACTCCTACTTCCACACTTTTCAGACAGGGATGCACTTAGGACCAACGTGGCACAAGCAAAGTAAATATAGTGCTAGAACCAGCAGACACATGCACAACTGATTTAAAACACACGGCCCTGTTCCAAACAAGATCATGAAAATCAATACTCATCCCAGCATGCAAGGTCCAAACGGTAAATAAAGTACATTGACTCTTGACGCAACTTTCAACAGCTGTTCTGGCACCTCAGTATATCATATGGAGAATGTCTAACCCCATTATAAAAGCCTAGTAACTCCAAATGAGCAGATGTGACCTGTGTGGGGTCAACTTTCAACAACTCCAAAACTTTAATAGGAGAACAAGTATCTGGTCATGCCAAAGAAGCTAAAGCTAAGTATTCATGTAGCCTACTGAGGCTTCTCAAAGCCATCAATGCATCTACCAGCTGCTTATCCTCCCTGGAGGATCCCATACAGCACAAGATTGGGGGACCCTAGATGGGAAGTCAGTTCATCAAAAGGCACAAACCCACGCCTATGC